TTTTTTTTTTAGTTATAATTTTGGAAGTTGCCAAAGTGTTCGCTGCAAGTCACGATTCATTTAGAATTTTTGGTTGTCATGCTGAACATCTATTGGTGTGGTTGAAGGTGCAAAAATCAACTTTGATGTAGATAAAAGAGGAGCTAGATGGAAAAATCTTGAAATTAAGAAGCTTGTTTGTGCCTTCTTCATTTTCATTTTTATGAGGCAGTTGAGGGAGATCATCAAAATTAAATATGATGTTGTTGAAAAGTTAGTGGAGACAAATGGAAATCAATGGTAGAACATGCGAAAGTGTCTTATTTGGAAAGAGGCTTGAAAGAGAATGAGAAAGACACTTTTGTGAAGTTGGTGCAAATTGAACCATAACCTATACTTTTATAGTGAGGAACCTCAAGAAGTAAAAATTTTATGGTGCTCCTATTCAGTGAGGAACCTCAAGAGTCCAAACAGAACAAGTAATAAATAATTGGGTAGAGCTGAAGAAAAATTAAATGATGAAAAGTTAAATTCTATGTTTATTTCATTACCCAATCATTAATCAAGGATAAAGGGGGCAACATTTTGGATTCACTTGGACATAGCCCAGCCACATGTGCTTGTCACACATACACAGTGAGATAGAGAATAAATGTTACTTTAGTTTATAATATACTGAAAACTATGAAATACAAAGTCACCCAAGGAAATGTTCTCAGATTGCTTTTTTAGATTCATTTCTGTACTTCCTTATGTGCTCTGAGACTTGTGATCTGAAACCCATGAAGCTTTGAATGGATATGGATTGAGGTTTTCTGTTCTAAGGCAAGTCTTAATCCTTTAAGCAGATTGTGTTGTTAATAGATTCTCTTTTCATCTGTAAGTTAAAAACTCTCTCTTTAAATTAAGAACCTTTTTTTGACGTCCTTTACATAGATTGAAAACATAAAAATAAAAATAAGAAAAGAAGAAAAGAAAATAAGAGAATGATGATTTCTTAAGAAATATATTTGAAGGGATGTTGGGGGGTGGGGTGGGTGGGGGTTAAGAGTATATCATAAGGTCAAGGGTTGGAGAATTAATTGAACAAAGAAGGAAAGGACTGTTTGGGTCCTTTGGGATGCTGTGAACAGTGCCTTCAGAACAGTACCTTAAGATCAGGTTTGGTTGAGAAACTAAATAAGAGGAAGACTAGGGATTTAGTGCTCACTTTAGAGATTATATGAGCTGAATGATTAGCTGAATAGTTTCACAGATCAAAGAATAGAAACAACAATTATTTAAAATGTAATAATTTGTTTTTAACATTCGTTTATTTCTTTAAAAAATGTGATTTGTTCTTTATTATTTTGACATTTAACCAGGTCTGACATTGTTATTTCCTCATTATAATGTTTGTTTTTTTGTTCATTTAGGCTTTTGGAGGTGATGATTCAAATGTTGGATCCCCCAGGATTAATCTCACAGCAACAGCAAAATCAAATCCTCCTCAGTCACTTAGAGAGTCTGACATTCAATTAAATATGTTTCTTTTAGATTTTATTTTATTATTTTATTTTTTTTAGGATTTGGGTGAATTTTATAATTTAAATATGTTTTTATGAACATGTACAATTTAATTGTTCTTTGTAAAATATTGAATTTGATGGTTTGATTAATTTTTATTTTTATTTTTTGTTATGATGTTTTTGTGAATGGAATATGATATTCCCAGTGCCAGTCAAAGTGGGGGCCGAAGCCAAAGACGAGTTGAAGGTTATGATATGCTTGACATTGCTGTGAAGGATACCTCTTTACCTGATTCTCCTCCTGTCCAGGAAGAGTACCTTACTCATGCTTTTCCAGGTGGACCGACTGATCCGTCAATACTGCGGAGTTTCAATAGTCATGTGGCTGCAGCTATTTGGCACGGGGAGGTAAACATTCATTTGTATATGAGTTTTTTTGTTTTTGTGTGTGTGTTGTATGGTAGTTTGTAATGAGATATCATTTGTGTTGTAGGAACGAGGGCCCCTAAAGTGTCATAATCACTCTTCCAAGATCCTTGCATGGCCATGGTGGTTAGTAGAGAACAACACCAGATTCAAAGCCATTATTGAGCAGTCTGGACTGTCACAGTTAGCTCGTTGCACTTATCGGTTCGTCAACAAGCTTCTGGTCTCATGTTTTGTTGAGAGATGGCAACCTGAGACGAACACATTTCACATGACAGTTGGTGAGATGACCTTGACCTTGGATGATGTTGGCACGATTCTTGGCCTTCCCATTGTAGGCAAATCAGTCAGCATACCAGATGTGACAGATCATCATGGAGTTACATTACTCGTTCAAGGCTTGGGGATTACTGAACGTGCAGCACATGAAGAGGTTTCTTCTGCTGGTGGCAATTCAGTCAGGCTTGAATGGTTGCGAAGTCAGTTTGCTGGTGTCACAGATTCAGACCCCGAGGAGGCTATACAGTGCGCTGCAAGAGCTTATTTATTGTTTCTGTTGGGATGTACACTCTTCAGTGACAAGAGTGGCGGCAGGGTTCCCGTTGTTTACCTCGGCTTGTTGATGGATTTGGGATCCATACATACTTATGCCTGGGGTGCTGCTGCATTAGCATTTTTATATCGACAGTTGGGGTTTGCTAGCCGGTCTGGGGTTAAGCAGATGGGTGGTTATATGACTCTTTTGGAGGCGTGGATTTATGAGCACTTCCGAGCATTCCGACCTCATCAGAACATGGGCTACACTGAAGACATGCCACATGTGTACCATTGGGCATCTAGGAGAGAGGCGGGTTCCTCCATTGACCATTTGAAATCTTTTCGAGCCGAGCTTGACAGTTTAGTAGCTACTGATGTAAGTTTACTCATCCTGCGATAATTTTAAGACTTCCATTTATCTTACCCTTTATGTACTTTAATGCAATAACACTTTTACGTTTACAGGTTATTTGGGATCCATACCACAGCTGCAGAGACCGGCATCCATGTAACCCGGTTACGTTCTACCATGGATGCTTAAAGTGCTTAGACGTTGTCGAACCGTATCATCCAGATAGAGTTTTGAGGCAGTTTGGCAGGGTTCAAACCATCCCAGATGCACCGCTAGCTCCTAGTCGTGGTGCACGAGGCAACATATCTGCACGATATACCGTCATGTACAGATACTTGGATAGGATGTGGGAGGCTTGGGATAACCACGTGTTGTCTGCGCAACGGAGGAGCACACCAGTTCGTCGGCCTTGGCAATGTGTACCGGGTTACATGGATTGGTATAAGAATATCACGCACCTATATGTCGAGCACACTGATGAACCGCGTGTCCATGACCATCAGGATTTCAGCGAACATGCGGATGTAATCTATTATCCTCCCTGATGCATATGTAACTTACTTTTTTTTTTTTTTTCTGATATGTTCCCTAAAATGTGATATTCTTTTCAAATGCAGCGTATTGCACATGCACTGCAGATTTCACATCCTATTATTGACGTTGGTTATCAGGAGGGGATTCGCCATCCTTATCGACTTTACCAGGCTATCGAGAGTATGACACATGTTCTTGAAGGTCAGAACATTGACGAAGCTAGTTCTGCTGGAGGTCGCTTTCCATCTTCGACATTGACATACAGTCGTAGGCCTAGGCGTTGGCATATAGCTGATTCGTGACATGTTATTTTGTTAGTTGATGAACATTGTTTGGTGTTTTTTGTAAGATGACATTGTTGTAATGGTAACAGTGGTTAATATTTTCTTATTAGAATGGAATGGCAACAATGGTATTGTAATGACACTTTATTATTAGAATGGAATGGTAACAATGGTCGTTGATTTTATAAATGATATGTTCTTATTACAATGGAATGGTAACAATGGTCGATAACATTCAATCCACATTGCAAAACATAACACATCAACATCAAAAACACATCCATTAATTTCTTCCATAATTGTAACATTGTCAAATGCATACATGTGTCATGCGACATCAACAACATCAAAAGTCTCTCGAGTAGCTACATTATCATGAATAATGTCCTTGAAATGTTGAATGCGACGCACATATGCATCATCCCAGTCCACAGCGCAAGGGTGACGGTATTTTCTCCAATTAGTGGCAATAGGAGGAACTGGATGGCCTGGCTGCAACAAAACCTGCACCAAATATCAATTGACTTAGTGGTCATACCTCATAACTTCTTGTACATGCATAAACGCAATTGATAAGTTTCTGTTATACCTGCACGAAATGATTTCCGTTGACAAGCCCAATGGCAATCTCACGTCTATCAAGTTGAGGTATTGGCACGGTTCTAAGAGGTAAAAAGGTGAGACATTGCTGTAAAGACAAGTGGTATAACACAAGATTGTAGCACGATGCAACAAGATGCCCCATGTCTGGCATAGTCATCCAATGTGAGTATCTAGGAATGTCTTCAAAGTATGACAATATGCTTGTCAATTCTTCAAACCTTTCATAGGACCCATAAAGTGTAATGTATTCCTCTTTATGTGTGTGCAGCTCACCCAATAGGTCACGCCTAACCTGAGCCCAATCATCTTCTGTATGACCAATTGAAGCAGCTATAGCCCTAAAACCACAATTCCCATCTGCAGCTACATCCTTGACAAACTTAATGTATGGTTTCAACCCAGAAGGGAAAGCATCAACATATGCACCAGGTTTCACTGCTCTAGTAATGTATGCCTTCCCTTTCGGATTCACCTTCTCCTTTCCCTTAACAGGTCGCTTCTTCTTGGTTTGCAGAGTAGAAGCTAATGTAGTGATTTCAGTGTCCCTAGGTGAGAAGGAATCATGTCCAGATTGCACCAACTCAAATGCACACGGGTCACGACGGGTAGAAACATTGATCTTCTTATGATCCCGAGGACGTGTTTTGGGTTTCACCTCCGGCTCAACAAGAAAAATGCTTCCCGGATATACAATCTCTTTCAACTTCTTCAAAAACTCCAACCGCATGGTTCTATCACTTTCATTAAACTTGTTCACAAACAACTCTACTTCTGCATGACAAGTCATCTCCGTTTCCTCTTCTTTCTTACATATGGAGATATGAAGTTGCCTCCACTGTGAGTGTATGGTAACAAGTGGTATAGGACGATCTTGTCTAATGTAGTCAGCAATCTCATGGACGCAAGGTAAACCATGAGTGTGGCGAAGGACACATCCACAAGCTTCAACATCAATACCAATGGAATTGGCGCTCTTACTCTCTACAAGCAAATAC